GTGAAAAATATCGTCTTAAATTTACAACTCGCTGACCTCGTGTCATGCCAGCTTGAGCTGTCATAGCGCCTGATATGTAGGCAATACCTTGCTAGCACAGCACGCGTGCATTGCGGGGTGGCCTACCCTCAGTCTCACAGGCGCCGAGCTCCCCCAATTTGCCGCGCAAACCCTCAGAATATCGGAGCATAATAAAAATGAGGAAAGCTGGCGTTTCGGACCGTTCATTCTTGTTCAGTAGCAACTCATTAAGTAATCGATACTTATTTGCAAAGTAATTGCATTTGATGGTATCTGTTACATGTAAATCCAACGAAATTTAGAGTTATCTGCAGAACTGCAGTAGAACCAAAAGACGTAGAGAAGCCGCCGATCGATTTCAAAATTTTCTTTTCCCCGTTCGTATAAAGAGAATGGAAGTAACCGGTCGTTTTCAATTTTAACGCCGATGTTTTTATGATATTTCCTAGGTGTTCGTCGGCCCCGCCAACCTGCAGCCCCCCAAGGGCTACGCCAAGTTCGAGCTGCCCTACTTGTCGTCCCTGGACACGAACCGCGTTGAGCGCAAGGTGAACAAGCTTCCCTTCTTCGTGGCGCCCCTCTCCTTCAACCCGCCCGCCGGCTACTCTAAGATCCTGCTGCCGCCGCCCCACATCGGCTCCGTCGTGGTCAACTCCAACGTGAGCAGCGCCCAGCAGCAGCAGCTCCAGCAGCAGTTGCAGCAGTCGCCGCTGCCGCAGCTTCACGAAAAGGATGCCCCCTTCACCAAGACGACGGCCACGCCGCCCGCCTTCCAGTCCACGGTCACCTTCAGCCTGCCGTCCGAGATCACCCCGGTCAACCCACGCCTGCCCACGCTCGTCAACTCGCTGGACGAGGGCCGCCCGTCCCCGACGGCTCAGCAGCAGTCGCCGACCACCCCCGTGACACCCGTCTCCCACACCACCCCTCGCCGCCAGCCCTACCTGCGGCCCACCGGCCCCACGACCCCGCTGCCGCCCGCCACCGCTGCGCCCACGGCGCGCACCACGGCCCGCCGCCCACCGCCGCCCCGGCCCAGCCCGCGCACCACGGAGGCCGCGCCGGTGTCCACCGAGAGCTACTCGCCCGCCGTGTCCGTGACGCCCAGCCCCGAGCTTGCGTCCGCCTCGCCCGACCAGGCCGACCCCTCCTTCCAGAGCCAGCGCGTGGGTGGAGGTGCCGGCGGCGTCGGCCCCAACGGCAAGCGCGGCCGGAAGCGGCTCCGCAACCAGCACCGGCTGAACCAGCAAGCTCCGGCCGAGGACGCCGTGCGCAGCAGCACCGAACAGCAGAACATGGTGTCGCCCACCACGGAAAGGGTGACCCCCGCACGCTTCTCCCCCGAGAACATTAACCTGCTGCAGCAGACGCCTAGCTTCCCGACCGAACGGCCCACCTTTGGAAGCTCGCCATTCCAGACGGAAAGGCCCTACAGCAGCACGCCCTTCCAGAAGACGGACCGGCCCAACTTCAGCACCTTCCAGACCGAGGTGCAGCCCAACTTCAGCGAGCGCCCAGCTTTCAGCACTTTCCCGACTGAGCGGCCAAGCTTCGGACAGAGCTTCAGCCCCAGCTTCGGCTCCTCACTGGCACCCACACCGCCCGCGTTTGAGGCGACGACACCCCGCAACCTAGACGTGCAGCCCGCCAGCATCAACGGCTTCCTCCAGCAAGAGCAGCAGCCCCAGCCCGAGGAACCCGTCGACATCAACCAGATCCAGTTCCCTGGACCCAACTCTGGCTTCCAGCAGGAGTTCTTCTCGACGCGACTGGAGAACGGCAAGGTCCAGTACCAGTACAACCTGCAGCCCACCCCGCAAAGCCCGCAGCCCGCGGTGCAGCCCCAGGAGCCCGTCGTTTCCCAGCCCGATTCGCAGGCCGACTTCCAGCCCTCTTTCGTTCGCGTCCGCGGTCGCATCCAGCACCAACAGCAGCAGCAGCAGCTGTCCCTCCTGCCACACGTGCCGGTCGAACTGCAAAAGGCCGTTAAAGTAAACCCTCGCCCTGCTCTGGAGACACCGGCCACCACCGCCTTCAGCCAGGATGCTCCCTCCGGACCGGGTAACAACCTCGCCGTCAGAGTCCGCGGTAAGATCAGGAGTCGTCCCAGACAGCACTTCCAGCAGCAGCAGCAGCAGCAGCAACAGCAGGCTGAGGAGGAGCAGGTGCAGCCTGATGCTCAACCTGAGCAGTTCCTCAAGGAGACAGTCATCGAGCGCACGACCACGTCCACCACCCCCGCGCCACCCTCGTCGGTCTCCTACTTCCAGGGCGGGAGCGTGTCGGCGCAAACCGAGGCGCCAATCACCACGGTGCAGCAGCAACAGCCGCAGGAGCAGGAGCTCGCCGTCACGCAACAGCAGCAGGTCTCCGAGGAGCCCATCACGGAGACCACGCAGCCCTCGACCTCGACGACGCGCGCCGGCGTGCGCAAGTACAGCAGCTTCACGCGTACCGGAGCTCCCCGCAGACCTGGACTGCGCGTCGCCGGCCAGACTACCGCGGCCCCTGTAAGCACGACGACCGCGGCGACCACCCAGCGGCCCCGCGGCACGCGCCGGCCCCCGCAGCTCGTCAACGGCGCCGCCGTCCGCGGCCGCGTCCGCGCGCGCCCCACCAGCACCACTGAGGCCACCGGCCCCGACTCCGCCGACGCCCCCGTGACACCCGACCTGTACGGCCGCCGACGCGGTCCCCACGCCCCGACTAGGACGCCGCCCTCTGCCCAGGCCAACGAGGTCCTGGACTCTGACCACCAGGAGAGCGTGTCCCCGCCACGCAGCGCGGTGCAGAGGTTCGAGTCCCGGCGCCGCCACCCAGAGGATGCCCAGGCCGCCGTTACGGCCCCCTCCGAGCAGCCCGCCGAGGAGCAGCCCGCCCCGCACCCCGTGCGCGTGCGCGTCCGCCGCCCCGGCCACCGCCGCCAGACCACGCCCGCGCCCGTCACAGGTATGTGCAGCAGGTCGGGCAATAAGATGTGCGGAACACAATTGCGTTCGGCCGTAATAAAGGTACCTTCTTGGTCAATGTCTTTTTGCTGTCATAAAAATACCGTGCCGTCAAAATCGATCACATAAATATATTTTGAACTTAGTTGGCAAGTCATATACTAAAGTTGCGCACACTTTGAAAAATTCACGAATCGCAGGAGTATTAGCCCCCTTTACGCTGCTGACACTTATCCCTTAAGAATTCTTTTCAAATTTGCGCACTCAGACTTTTGACGCTTTCTATTCTTCGCCTAGGTTCCGATCAGAGTCACGCCGACAGCAAGCTAGCCTTTGCCCTGGACAACGGTGAGATCGGCAAGGACAGCCAGTACGGCGAGAAGCAGGGCGCGGCCGTCGCCCGCCCGTTGGAGGAGTCGCTGCCCACCGTGACCGCCCTGGAGGCCCACCCCACATTCGACTGGTCCGCACATAGCGGCACCGCCCTTCAGGACGGCTGGAGTGCCACCCACGCAGGTAGAGGGCCTCTCCCTCCTCTCCAGTACTCTGTGTCCGGCGCTCAAGGTGAGTGCGTAAAAAGCAAACATTGAGCGGACGGGGTTTAAACTTGTGACTTTGTTTAAAACTAGGGCCTCCCGAATTCTTCCGCTTCTTCTCTTACGCTGCTCTTGCTACTTATCACTCTGACAACGAGTTTCGACATTCGCCTGCCCTTTTCCAGGTGAGGTCGACGCTAAGCCCTCTGAGCACAGCGACGACCCCAGCGACTACCTAGAGCCGACCTCTGGCCGGCCGAACCGCCCCGCCTCGCTAGACAGCATTTCCGCTCAAGATGTGGACAACGTTATGAAGGCCCTGGAAGAGGTTGGCCTGCTTGACGGCCAGACCGCGTCCCCCGCCAGCCCGGCGGCCGACCCCTCTGCCCCCGACCAGGACATCCTCAAGGAGGACACCCACAAAAAGGCAGTCGACCCGACAACTCAAAAGAAGGTATAGATGACACTCGCGTATCCGAGTCCCTCTCTTAGCTGCGTCAGTTTCTAACACAGCTTCTTTCGTTCCAGTCGGGCAACGGCCGTAGGCGAGGTAACTGGGTGCGAGTGCGCGTCAAGAGGCCGAGAGACGGACTCGCCACCGCCGAGTCTCAGAACGCTGGTTCCTTCCCCGGCAACAGTGTCCTGACCGTAGTGCCACCGTCAGCGGAGAGCAAGGACGCCTTCGAGAAGGGCGTATCCCCGTCATCACCCTCGGCACCCTCTGCAGCTGACGTGGAGCTCCCAGCACCTACCACGACCGGCGTGTCGTTCTCCGAGGACGTCGTGACGTCCCTGGCCGAGGAGGAGCCTGAGGCAACCGTCGCCACAACGCCCAGGATAAGCAGCCTGAGCATTGCAGCTGATGCTGTCGACGAGAAAGCGCCGGTCCCGAGCGAGCCCTCCGCTGAGGCGTCGGCAGAGCCCTCCGCCGAGCCCGCCCCGACCAACGAGCCCGCTAGCGCACCGCAGTCCACCCTCATCCCCGCCACCAGCAGCAGCGCAAGCGGCAGTGAGGATGACGCCGACGCGCTCAGGGTATCCACGACCACGTCCACGCCTGCGGGGGACTTGGAGGAGGCCACGACACCGGTGACCACCACCACAACGCCCGGCGTGTCCAGGGTGAAGGCCCTGCTTAAAGCGCAACAGGAACAAGAGCAGCTGAGCAAGTTCCTCGGCAGCACCACCTCCACCAAGGTCTCCATGGAGACCGAGATTTGCTTCAGAGGGAGGTGCGTGAAGACAAAAGGCAAGGAGGGGAAGGAGCAGCAACAACAAGATCAAGTGCCAGCGGAATGAGGCAAGGGCCCTTTCGGTACCCGTTTTAGAATGAAGAGTCTTAAAAACTAGTACACACAGCTAAGAGATGGCTCTGTGACATTCAATTTCTATTCTTTTTCGATGATGATCACAGTTTAGAAAAAAAGAGAGGGTGAAGGAATTTTGAAACAAAATGTATAATGTTAAATTCAGCACAGAACCATTTAGCTGTTTTGCAGAGTCGCGAGGCTCTGCTGTTGCCATCACTCCTTTTAAAAATACCTAGCAGTTTCTTGTGATTTTTTTTAATCGAGCGTTGTTAGCCAGGAGGTACTTTAGATCTCCATTGGTGAAAGGTGTAAGGGGGATTAGAGCGCCCCAATGTAAATGTCTTAAGTCATCATAGGTATGCTTTTATTTATTGTTGCTTTTAATTTGGTGTTCCAAAATAATGTAGAAAAAGGCGTCTCTGTGTTCTAGACATTTTTGCTCATGAAAATCTTAGCTAGTAGTGGCATCAAACCCTGGTGAAAGATTTTAGGCATGAACACAAGTGTCTATTTCCTATATCTTTTGTAAATATGCATTTCCTCTTGCCTCTTCATGTAACTCTGTTCTTATCATAAATAGTAGATCGGGTTCATATACTGAGAACAAGTTAAACTTTTGATCAATGATTGTACAATTGAGGAATGCCTTTGCTTTTCCTACCGTGATACAGACGTCAATTGACTTCACAATGCTATGACATTTTCAAATGGATTATTTTTAAATTGTATTAGTCATTCCGTTAAAATTTGTCCATCACTTTATGTACCTTGACCTTTGTCACAGACAAGTGAATAACATAAATTTGCAATCATAACATACTGATACAGTTTTAGATTTATAACAATTACTGTGTAAAGATTACTATCAAACCACACCAGCTCTTATTTATTTCACTAAAAATAATAGGCTTAACACATCTTTGTACAATATTAATTGGCTTTTGTAAACATTGCTTAATTTTAATTGTTATTTATAAGTAGGTTGTGCTCTAAAAATAACTGCATTGAATTTTGTAAAGTGTAGTATATTTTTGAAAGAGATGTAAGAACTCTAGACTGAGAAATAAAATTTAAAATGAGTCCCCTGTATTCTGTCGAGTGGAATTGCAAGTCTGCAAGCCCTAAAATGTATCACAATCAACCCCGGAAATTTTAGTCGTCTTTCGTTCTTGCGTTGTGCATCAGAAACATTCTAGAAATTTACGTCATTTAGCTCTCTGCTTTTGGTACACTCAACAAAGGGGCGGCCGGCGGGGCCTCCAGGAGCAGTGCTGGCCTGTTGGAGTTATTTCTATGGAAATG